GATTTCACGTGGAGGGGGCGGCTGGTGCCACAACCCAGGCCGAGGTGCTCCTGGTTTTAAGCAGAAGCGGAACAAGGCCGCGCTTCTTTTCCCCCGAGCGCAGCGGTTCTCCCAGGGAGCGCAGCTCCGTGTGCCCCGCACCCGAGGGGCAGCGGGGACGGAGCCCGTCAGGCCTGGCCGAGCGAGCCGTCCCCTTCCTCAGGCTCCAAAATGACATTTCTGGCAGGGAGGTCGGACGAGATGATCTTTCGAGGTCCCTTCCAACCCCTGACACTCGGTGATTCTGTGATTTCGCGCACGGCGGCCTCCCTATCCCAGCGAGAATCTTGTGGAGCTTGGGCGGTTTCTGAGGGCCGGTTTGTGGTGGGGCTGGGCTGTGCCTCTGCCAGGAGCTGCTCGCCCGGCCTGTTTGTCACTGAAAGCACTTTGTGCTCGCTGGCTGGCGGTGGAGGGAAGGAGGATGCTAATTGACTTAAGGTTGGCGTTTTTGTGGCAGTTTGCATTACAGATTTGAGTCGTATTGAAAAACTTAAGACTTTCAAAAGAATGTGCAGACTGTATTGGAATAGAGTTTCACCGTCTTTCACATTTTATTTAGGAAGTAAAAAGAAGACAGCTAGCAGAAGCTGCTGAAAAGAGGCAGATGGAGGTAACGTCTGATAAAATGCCATTTATGCAAAGTATATCTGGGTAACTGGTTTATGGGGAAAACAGCGAGGCCTTCTGTGGGAACGCTGGGTTGTGGGAATTGTCATCAAATATTTTCATAGCATTATTTTACTTTATACTATTTTTTGTTTATATTTAGAGTTTCACAACTAGGTAGGTGCTCAAAAACCGTTGCATGATAACTGAGCCTGTTTGGATGGGAAAAGTTTTTCAGTAGTTAAAAAAACCCAACAAAATAGACAACACAACAACCCAAGAATTGAAAGAGCAAGTTCAGCATTATATTTTTCCTCGTTACAAGGCTTGAAAACAAGCATTTGAGAAATATTTCAAACCAGACTTGTCAATTTTGGCAATTTCAAGTGGTGCTGGACCTGTACTTCTCTTACAAATGCAGGTTATGGGCACTTGCAGGTTCACTTTGCACCGTGGCAACAACTGAGCCCCTTTGACAGCTCAAATTCCAGCAAAGAAATAGTATTAACTTACTCTTTATTTTTAAGGTTTCTAAGGGGAGATGGTCACACAGGTTATTTCTCACACATCACAAGTTAAAAGTTGGATTTCTTTCAGCTGATGATAGCACTACTAACAATCTTTTTCTGACTGTGCATGGAAAGTTCCCATTGATTTCTGTAGTAGCTATTCAGAGCTTGTGACTTTCTCTGCCCACTTATTGAGTGTTGGAACAGAAGCTGTCATTATTATTTCCATCATCTGTGTCCTATCTCTAGGGAGCCACCTGATAAAAAGAGGTGGAAGACATGAACAGATGTTGAAACACCTAAAGTTCTTGGAAGTTCTGTCTGCACAAATCATCTCTTCCCAGTTAATTCTGTTTGTGAGGGCAAGAAAAGGCCCTGACAGTGGAAAATCTACAAACTAAGAATTTTGGGGGCTTTTGGAAAGGGCAGTTCTGATTCTGCATCTTAGGATGCAAAGCAGGTACATGTAATTGCCTTGAGTATGTTCACCTGGATGTAATTACAATATGAAACACAACCACCCTCACATGCCTATGGGACCAAGAGCTCACAGAATGAAGTAGTATACTGAAAGATCTGCATTTGTGTAATGGTACTGTTACTTAATATTTCAGTCTTATTACACAAACCAGAGTTCACAAAACGATACTGCCAAGACTTGCAGTTTGATTTCTACCCAGGAAAACAGCTGGTCTAACCCAAATGTGTTTTCTCCCAGGCTTCCTCTCGAGGTATTAAGAATGTTTACTCTGTAGAGCAAAAGAAAAAGAAACAGGAAGAAATAGAAAAAAGAATTGCAGCTTCAGGGTCTGGAGGAGAAGGAGGCCTGAGAGTAAGTTTAAAGAAGAAACAACATGACACAATTGTCCAAGTTTTCATCAAGAAAATGCTGGTTTGTCATCCACAAGATTGAATAACTTGAGGAGAAACCAAGAGGAAAGGAAACGGAAGCACGTGTCATTATCATGTAGTGTTCTCAATGAGACTTCATTTCTGGGACACAAAGACAGTGAGGATGGCAGAGAGCTGTTTGGGTATTTTTCTCCTCCCCCAGTTTCTGCACCTACGGTGCATCAGTTTTACAGCACTCCCAGCACTGGAGACCTCCTCACTGTGTCGACCTGTGCTCACTGTCCCTTTGGGGTAGTGGTTGAGATGGTCTCTTTTCCCTCAGAGTTCATAGAAAATGTTTGAACTAAGTACAGTAATGGCTTTGGGTTTCATATCTCTTTCCCTCTCTTCCCAAAAGAAACAGTGTTGGAACAGACACTGAAGAACTGCTACTACTGATGCTTTTCCAGCGTAAACTTTCTCTTGGAAATTAATTAGTTAATTAGGAATGAGAATCTCTCCAAGACAACAGATGCATCTGGTTATTGAAACACAGGCTTCATAAACTTTCATCTCTTACCCTCATTTCTGCGTAAGACTTAGGGGGCAGGAGTTTGTATAAGCTACCACTGCATGTCCACTGCTGGATATAAAAGGTGTTAGAATGGAGAATTGCTTCTCTTAAATAGCCTGCTGGTGTTGTTTTTTTTTCCTTTTCTTTCCCCTATCTTTATATAAACCTGTGGTGTGTTTTGTCTTTAGTGGCAGGTTGGATAAAGAAGCTGACTTCTGAAGAGAAGATTGATGTTTACTGCCAACAACTTGCCAGTTTCTGCAGCTGAGTGGCACTTACTCATCATGTGGCTTTTGCTGTTTGCATATGAAGACTCAGCAGTACCTTGCCATTGTGGGAGAAGAGATGTGGAAACATACACTGAGAAACCGAAGAACTAACTCTGAACACTAAGTTTTGGCCAATTTGTTTTTGTTTGTTTTATGTGCATGTTTTATTGCTTCTCTGCCAAGGAAGTGAGATGGGTTTTCTCACATGGAGGTGGCCTCCTTACCCGTAGTCAGTCCATATGTGTCTGCTGTCTGGTCAGTCAGTGTATGTCTGTCTGCAGATGACTGGCTTAGGCCCAGCTCAGGTGGCCATATGTTCATTTTAATGCTTATGTCAAGCTCTGCAATTTTAAGTCCTCATGTAGAAAGTTGTTCATAAAAATATGTATATATATTTGAATATGTGGGTGACAGCATTGCTCTTCAGTTTCCTAATGACTTTTGAACTGCCTAGGGATTTAGTGCCTTTCTCAAAAGAAAAAATAAAAGCTGATTCATAGTAAGTCCTTACAAATAGAAGCATTCTGTGACACTCATGAGAAAGAATGAAAAAGAAACCTTTATAAACCCTGTATACTTATAGCAAGAAAGCTAGTTTATTATGAGCCTAATATTTGTTCTCTTCATTTTCTGATGTGCATTTCTTTTGAGTCTGTAAGTATTTATAATGAATACTGGACATTAAACATTAAATTAAAAATACTGTTATTAATTGTTCTCCTTTATTACCAGAAGAGGGCAGTGCTGCACTTTGCAGGGTTTTGAAAAAGACAAAGGATTACATCAGCTCTCGAATGGTTCATTTCCTAACGTTTGTGTACTGTCTAGGTGGGTTTTTTACAATGCAGTGATGTTTGCCAAATGCCCAAAGCTCAGTTACTTTTAGGCCGTGCACAGCAATGCCTGTAATCCTTTTCCCAAATGTGAAGCTGTCTTTGAGTTTTTAGGGCTACCTAAACTCCGGTATTATAACCAGTGGCCTCAAGCCACTGTTTTGAGAGAGGAGGCAAGTTTGTGGCAGCAGGATCAGCTCTAAGAATCCAGCTCTTGTCTTCCCCGGAGAGCATTATGCTTGGCCTCAGCATCTTACTGGCCCCATTTCTGACCTAGTTTAGGCTGTAGAGACTTTTTTCTCCCCTCCCTTGAACTAAATATTTCTTCTTTACTTCCCCCAGTAGTGTCTCATGCTATCTTAACGCAGTCCTGACACAATGAGTTACTTGGCTTAGCCTTCAAAATAGCATTGGGATGGGAGACTTTTCATTTAAAAATGTAATGGTGTTTGGGCTGTAAAGCTGTGTCCATGACAGGTGAATACCATCAGTTTCATTTGATTCCTGGCAATAGCTCTCTTCACTGTATTAACTCATCATAGTGTTGTTTTTTTTTTTCAAGTAATGAAAATGCACTGAGTTTAAATATACTAAGTGTCAATTTGAAATGCAAGTTCAGTCTAACATCTGGGTAAATTAAAACACCTCTTGTCGGTTTAAGTTTTTTGGTAGCATTCATTTCAGTTGAGAATAAAAGCAGTTCAGTAGTACACAGCTACATCATTAGAGCTGCTCCATCCTTGTAGAAATAGACACCTCCCGTCTCTTTTGTAGCACGTAGCGCTGCCCTAAGTAAATATGAAACACAATAGTTATTTTACCCTCTTTTCTCCTACTCCTAGATGTTTACTTCACCTTAGAGGCTGTTAAAATACATCCATACATGTAGATTATCTACGCTGTTGATATTTGCTTTACAGCAGTACAACTATACCTTTCTTTCTCCACCTCCTGGCAGTAAAAGACTGGTGCTTGTAAACTGAATTGAAAGGGCTGGCTCTTGGTGACTGCAATAGCATAATCTTCGTTGCAGTAACAGAAAACAAAACCATCTGCTGCTGCATATTGTTAAAATACACAGATTATGTGAGGGAAAGAGTGTTTGGGGCAGAACTCACTGAGGTTTGGGAGGATGCAGAAGCTGCATCTCCAGGAGGGTGAGTAGCATTACTGTGAGCCCTCAAGAAACTAGATGACTTCAGCATGTGGATTTGGCACAGCAATAGGCTAAATTGCTGGGACACAGCTCATCAGGCACAAGTGATGCCAGCGGTTGGACTGGGATGGAAAAACCTCTCCGGACCATAAATGTTCGCGTGATTCCACATGCCCGTTTCACCTCACTTCAGATTCCTAACATACCACAGACCAAGCCAGTAGGAGACACAAAGCCAAAAAAAAGCACTCTACCTTCCTTCCCTGTCAGATACTGCAGATCAGCAGCCAATGAGGCAGCACAAAACATAAGCCCCAAAAGAACCAGACATCTCTGGCAGATGCATCTGTGACACCACAGCGTGGCAAACAGCTCATCTCCCTGAGCTAAAACGAACATGTCTAATGAATTCAGTGTTGGGTCTTCAGTTACAAGAAACTTGCTATACCTTCCCACACACATACATCGACACCTCCCTGTTTCACTCATCCCCACCAATAGCCTTGAACTACTTTCCATAGATTTTTACATATCATCTCTAAATTGCTGCTAGGAAAAAAAAAAAAAAGCAGTAATGCAAAGAAAGGAGCTATTATCACTATAAGAAACCTAAGAAAAAAAAAAATCCTGTCCTCAGTTATGTTGATAATCCCACTTGGAAGGAAAACTCCAGGTAAGAAATGAACAGGTCAGAAAGTACCTCCTGTAACGAACAGTAACAGATGTTGCAATTGCATTTCTAAAGTAATTCGGAATTGTTTCCAATAGGGAGATGCTTATTTGGCAATACACAATAACAATAGTTTTTAAAAGTAAACCTACATAATTTAGCCATCGTGAGCTTTCGCACAGTTACTCACCACCAGCAGGAACTCCCCTGGGGCTTGTTCTATGACTCAAAAAGGACTTGAAGAAGAGGCTTCTTTGCAGCTGATAACAGTTCAGCTTTTTAGCACTTTCAGCCCTCTTACTACTCACACTCAGCTGAGTTACACAGCAACAGAATAAGCTAAAATCACTGCATGGCACTCTTCCTTTCAATCATCATCTAAGGCCAGTTCAACATTTCAGCATCTCGCATCCTGCCCTTTCAACAAGAAGCTGTTCCACAGTCTCAGCTCACCTTCCCTCAGGCCAGAGCTCAAGAGAAGAGCTACAGGTCTTCCCTGCTGACACCCCCTCGTTCAGTTCAGCCTTCTAGAAACCTCCGCTGGGTACCTGCATACCACAGAAGCTGGCATTGAAACTTGACCATCCATCCACTACAGCTAGCTGGTCAAACTATGGTTGGTTGGGGTTGTTCTTCCCCAAAACACTTCCTACGTGAAGCCTATTCTGCCCCCATTGCTACAAGGACCATACCTCTTGTGGGCAAGATTCTGCTGCTCAGCTTTAATTTTGTAAATTGAACTTTAAGCTCCTAAAAACTCCCCAACTGTACATTACTATAGGTCCTAGTACACTAAGAAAATACTATTCACCAAAGCAGCAACACTTCCCTTCTGACAAACAGACTCCCAAACCCTTCCTCCAGAGCTAACTAGCTCACCACATTTTTTTGTTGTTGTTTGTTTGCTTTGTTGAAGATCCTGCTTTAATTTCCTCGTCTGCTCCCCACACCCATACCAAGTGCATCAAATGCCTGAAGTCCCACCTACAAGCTTTTTACACAGATTAGGTGTAGTGGCAGTACTTTAAAAAAGTCCTTTATAGCTCTCCCATTCTGTAAGCGGCTAAGTTGAAACTTTAAGTCAGAAAGTGTTTTAATATATTTTTTTTTAAGATGCTAGAGTACCCTGAATCAAAAAAGACTATTTTGATAGCTACAGTCTGAGCACATAGAGCAGTTCATGTTTAATTCAAAATCTTTGGATTTACCAGGATTGTTTGTTGAAGTTTAATATTAAAATGAACCTAAGAATACTTTTTAAAATAATGTTCTACTCTTGCTTTATTAACATGTACACACCTTCAAATATTTCAATGAAAAAACATAAAACTAATGCAAACTTAATTTTGGATGATAGAAATACAAGTATTTATGTTTTAAAAAGTAACCATTATTTCAAAATAAATATCTGACACTTTCACAAGTGAGTTTGTTTCTTCCCTGTAATTTGAAAACAGAGGTTTTGATACATATATTAACATCATGATTATTTTCAGCTGTGCTGCATTTTAGTAAAATAACGTTGCTTATGGTCTGTTTTCTGCTCCTGTAAGGGCTACACACAGTGCTTCTATGAGAACTGGGTCTTCCTATGGCTTTTCAAAGGATTTACTGCTTGAGTATATGTTTAATCTTCCTGGAATATGTCTCAAAATAAGAATAAGAGGCTGCAATTTTTCCTTCTGAGAACACGTTTGGAATTACGTACTGCTACTTGTTATGGTGCACCAAGCAGTTGTGAATTGTGTGCATTTAGCAGATATTTTTAGATAGTGAAGTAGAACAGTACCATGGAAGTCAGGGACAACGAGCTGATTCTAAGAAAGCATGAAACGTGAGAAAATGTCTTGATCTCACCTAACCAGTAGATATTTTGCTGTAAAAGACCACAGGAACAGATCATAAGGATATGCTTTCAAATTAAGCTTCAAAAAATACAGAAAAATACCAACTGGTACTTAGAAAAATTATTTAAAAAATGCTTTCAAGTTTTTTCCCTGTGAAAGAAAATTAATTTTCAATAAAATCTGAGTATTTCTCTGCTATGAGTAGTAAGTGAAGGCTTGTCCTCTTCACTGTGTACCTCATTAATACATTAGCAAGCAGTATTGTGTACTGCAGGCATCCAGTCAGTAGCAGCAAAGTGCAGGAACACAGATTACAAACGAAAAATAAGACTTTCAAAATGTATGAGTATTTAAAAAAATTTTATTTCATTTGTAATGAAACAACTGAGTTCTGCTCAAATTTATACAGTCAGTGAAATAATCCTATAAAATGACTTTTCTAGGACGTTACAAGGCACATAAATTACCAAATATAAACATAGAAAAGTAGCCAAAATAATGAACTAAGCCCCCATATGCCTTTAGCTATTTTAGAGGTGTGTGAATGATTTACAAGAATGTGAATTGCTCTACCGATGGGGTAATGAGGATTTCACATTTGACGTGACTCAACGAAATGTAAAAAAAAAAGGCGGCCGGAGGAAAGGCTCAGAGTCAAGAGCAGCGTAGCGGTTTGTGACTCAGGAGGGCCTGGCACCTTCTGAAGCTCCTCCTTGGGTCACAGGGTTGTGCATCTTCTTCTGCTTCCCTCTGGGGGCTGCAGGAGCTCAACCCCCAGCCCAGCTCCAGGGGCTGACCAGCCAGGGGCCACCCTGGCACCTTCCCCAGGCTTCTATACTGGGCAACTTTGGCAAAAACGGGAAGGATCTGCACAGGGATCTAGCGCTGAGCATTGTCTTCAGCTTTAAAGAGGAGAAGGTGTGGGGTTTGTTGCCTTTTTCTTTTTCTTGGGCTTGTTTCTTCTAAAAAATAATCGCTTTGGGAAGTTGTTTGGCATGCAATAAGTCTTTATATTCTACTGGTTAAGAAAATCTTGCAACCCATAAAAATAGTCAATTTCTATTTCATTTCAAGAGGCAGTACCAAATTACTTCCACAAATACTCATTTTCCACCTGCATATATATTTTTCAACTAGCCTAAAAGTCAAGGATTCAATGTAATAAGATTTTCATACAAATATATTGTATTGTGTATTTTCTTCCCTTAACAGGATCCACTTCTTTATGTAACTCTAAGCATACATTCACATATTAAAGAGTAATAATTTGGCTAAAAATATATGTCTATTTCTTATCTGATTGTAGTAATTAGACTATCAAGGGTAATTTGCTATAAAAGATACAGTACTAGAAATAAATAGTTCTACAATTCAAAGATCTTCAAAATGGGTTGCCATTTCCAGTCTGTCTTAAGTTTTCCAAAGTCCTTTTAAAGCAGAAACTAAATTTACTACATTTGAAAAAAATAATTTGGACCTATGTACATAGAGTCCCAATCACATGAGAAGCTTATTTCACTTAATCTCCTTCTTGGTTTTGTAATGGGCAGAAACAACCAAGTAATTGTCTGGATTCATGTCCCTGAGGGTTGGAGACTTGCTCTGGATCGGAGAAGTTTTCCCATCCACGCGGGAGATCTGCAACATTCGGCATGGGTCATGCTTCAACAAGTAACCTGCAAAAGTCTCCCATCCTCCTCCAACACGAACCATCACGTGTTTATTGTGCAGCATCTGAAATTACATACACAAAAAACAAAACAAAACAAAAAACCCAAACCAGACACTCGTGAGAGGGAGCCGTTCAGTGGGAGGTCACATTTTTTCTACTGGAAAGAGCTGTGCTTACTTTAATTGAAAGTTACTGATGCATGTTAGTAGTCTGCCTTATAAAAAGAAAAGGAAAGAAATAGTAGAATGGATTTATTTGCATTTTAAAAGTACATTAAAAAATAGAAAAACCCAAGATATTATTTAAAACTACATATATTCATGTTTTATGTAAACAATGATACCTGATTTTCTTGTCCTGCAGCACCGAGTGATCCTGTTCTTCATGTGTTTAGTATAAACATGTTAGGGAGGATGAATATTTTTTAGATTACTTGTTTCAAAATATGTTAGTAAAGACACCATATGCCTTGAAACTGGCTTTTCTTTATAGGATAGCAATCTATATAAACAGAGTAGTAAAGGGCAACCAGCCAAGACAATCTCCTCTCTCTCCTAAAGTATGAAGTGTTTTGTTCATCAGGTTTGAAAATAGCAGTTCAAACGGTGACACAGCCTTGAGACAACAGAATCTGCAGAATTTTATTTATTCTCCTCTTTGAATGCCTAAAAAAGCATTTGAGAAAGGCCCCAAAACTGTTCACATTAAAACATTTTAAGCCCAGCTTCGGTCCATTACAACACGGGATGCTGCCATGGGAAGAAGTTAACTGCTGCTGAATTTCAGCTTCCACATATTGTCACAGGGGGGTTCACATTCCAGGAGCAGTTAGTATCTGGACTTTTGATTAAGAGGTAGGAGTGGAAAGTTAGTAAAGAGTACATTTGGTTCAATTTCCTTTTGGGACTACTGTTCAGACAAATAAAACCTGCTGCTGCTATGTTACTTCCTGGTGCTCAGGTTAAATGTACATCTTCTGTCTTTC